GAAAGGAATCTTTTTCTGAAGCAAATCTGTTAGTGATGGCAAACAGAAACCCAGCTCCATTTCCCATCCTTTGTGTCCCTGAATAAGCTGGTTCACTTCTTTAGGGTGTGCCCATTTTCCATGCCTGGCTCCTCCCTGTTTCTCTAAGTAGAGATTTCTGAAACCCAGAGCCGAAACACTCAGTGCTGCACATACACCCATCAACCACCAGATGGCAGAGTTAAACACACACTCGGCACACTCGCTGTCCTTAAACAAAGGCAGTTTATCAGTCATTACTGCCACAATTACCTTAGCATATGCTGTTCAAATCTTTTCAAAGCCCCGCTATGCTGTAGTACAAACGGAAGAAATTCAGCCCGAACACCCTTCTGGGATGAACTTACAAAGTCTTGCTGGATATCAGTGAAGTCTTTGCCGTATTTCTCGAGCGCTTCCTCGAACAGGTTGGCTTCGGACGCGCTCCATTCCTCCATTTCATCCCGACAGAGCACCGGCCCACCCTGGGGTACCAGCGCCGCGATGGCCCGTGTCATGTCATAGCCGTTCTTATGCAACGTGTCCATGGCGTGAAACTGAAAATAAAAAAATTGAGACAAGAAAACATCATAAACGATGGCTCAAAATTCAAGATTCGTCACCAAACATTACACTGTTTTCAGAAAATCTGAATTGCTCAATCCTGCGAACAACATTGACACTAGACGCAGAGGAATTGTGTGGGCAGCATGAGAGTGTGTCTATGTTTATGCATGGGGATGTTGCCCTCTGGCGTCTTTCCTTCATGTTTTGTACACAATGGGCAGATTTGGGTGGCTGGAGAGTGAAACCCGTGCTCTGATGTTCTTCTCGTACAGCCTATAGGCTGAGACTGAACACTGAGCTGGCAATAGGCCTGTCGCAATTATTACATAATCACCTAGTGGGGATTATTTGATCTAATTGTGATTATTTGAGATGATCACTGTGCACTTTAAATTCTAATCAAATTTTGCCACTCATATTATGAGT